ACTTAAAGAATATTTAAATATAATTATATTTTTATAAAATTAAAGGAAAACTTAGGAAAAAAATCCATGAAAAAATAGCCAGAGGTGAATTTTGTATTTATAAAAATTTCAAATGATTATTAATGTATACTCAATTATAATTAATTATTATTTAACAAAAATAAAATAAAAATATATATTAAAAAAAATGTTATTTTTCAAAAAATCTTTCATTTAAGATGAAAGGAATTTTTATTTTATATATATATATATATTTTTTTTGTGCAATTTTTATATAAATCTCTTCTCTTAAATGTTATTTTCTTTGAAATTTTTAAGTTATTATATCAATATTTAATACTTAGCTTTTAACATCAATATTATTCTGATTAATTTAGAGATGTTTTTCTCTATTTTTTTCTATAAAAATATCCTAATATCTAGCTCTTTCATAGATGGAAGAGCTTTTCTTCTATCTAAAAAAACATTAAAAATTTATATATAAATCTTTTGAAGGTTAAAAATATTTTTATAAAATAAATTTTGGTAATATCTCATACAAATTTATAGAGCTAAATGTTAAGATTTTTTTTTTAAATTTAATTGTCTTTTTTACTTATTTGAATGTATTTAACTATGCAAATAGATAACTGCATGTAGTGCACTGCATGATGTTATGTTAAAATGATTTAATAGAAGGTTTCGAACAAGTATTACTTGTATAGAATTTGGAATTTAGGGGGTTTTGCTGGAGTAAAGCCGTAACAAGTCTTCTAACTGTATGCAGTATCTATGTTAAAATTATTTAAAAAATTATAATTAAAGGGAAGAGATATTATATAATTGATTAAAATGAATCTTTAGAAAGTTTTTGAACGAGTGTTTACTTGTATAGAAGTGGGATTAAGGGGGATTTCGTTGGAGCAGGACTTAAAAACGCGTGGCTAAACCGCAATGGGAAAGCACAACAAAAAAGATTTCGATCGGATTAAAATTAGTAAAGGATGAATAGAATTAAATCCTCGACTTAAATTCGACTCGATTAAACCCTCAGTTGGAGGAACTTACCGTATTTCTTATGTATGTGTAGCCTGGAAGTTTTAAAAATCTGAGATGAGATGTCAGAATTCACGTTAATCACCGACAGAAGTGAAGGAGAAGAGGATTTCACAGGGGCAGATGATTCCATTGTTGAAAGAAACCCCACACACTTGGTAAAATAACTTTGAATGGACGTCATGTCAAAATCGTCTGGCAAACTACCCCCTCGGCTACCCACCCTTGGCACTTTACAGAGGGTGGTTGAAAGCACCTCACACGTACACCCACAGCTTAGCTAAAGGCGGTAGAGAACGCATGCGCCGGCAACAGCGAAAATCTCAACCATACGTCCGGGTTGTCCACACAGATCGGTTGGCAGGAGCTAACATCACTGGTCGAGACCTAAGCGCCTTATAGCTCCGCCTCAACTGATTGAGTATCACACGCATGCCGGGGTACCACAGGGTGCCACATGGGTCCGGATTGGGACGAAAAGTTTGGAATATGTTACAAATCGGACTGCAGGTCCGAAAGCTGTTCATCTTGTGAAGATATGGAAGGTGACAGCAAATCTCAATCTGCAGAAAGACTGTTGGAAAGTGCAGGGACCGACAGGGATCAGCACAGTGGACCAATGTCTCACACATCGTTTTCTGTCGACGATATACTCGATCCGAAGAAATTTACTGGTTCTACGCGTGTCAAGAGCACATGGCATCCCTGGCAGGGCACAGGTGATCACGACAGAGATGACCACACCAAAGGTAGGTTCTCGTTTCTCAACAACTTATTAAAATACCGTATAAAAGCACTAATTAGGCTAGGCCTTATAAACTTTAATGCGAATTAACAAAGTAATAACGTTAATTAATTAACTGTAAACGTCTTAAAGAAATATAGGCCTTTGTTGTGTGTATATATAAGCCTATACTTGTTATAGGAGTGAGAATGTTATCTTGATATTCGGTCTTTGTAAACTAATAGACAGATATCTGAGTAATTTAAAACTTCAATTCTGTGTTCTGGGGGTTCAGTTTGTAAGCAATCATAAAACGGAAAACAAACAGAATCTGTATGACACTATAAAAGTTGTATGAAGTAAAGTTTGCATATTTAATAAAGCAGAGAAAGAGGAATTGATAATGCAAAAGAGAAAGAGAGGGGAAAATATAAAGTATTTCTCCTTTATATCATCCATAGAGATTGAAAGATGAAAACTTTTCTGACAAGAGTGTAACGTTACATAGATGTTTTATCATGACAGGTGACATATATAAGATTGAATGCCTAGGTATGGATGTCCTGCACTGATATCCAGTCTAAGATATCTCAATCTTCCCATACTTTTCGATAATTGTGGCCTTTTCTTCACTTGTTATGTTTATAAATTAATAAAGAAACATATCGAAACAATTTTTACCAATCATTTTTGATAAAAAATATAAAAAAGTATATTTTTCCTTGCCATTTTATATCGTCTTCTTCTCTGAATTGCGCGAAATACGCACGAAAGAAGTACAAATTACTTAAAAATTCGTTTGAATACCGCTTAATTGATTAAATAATATTAATTTTTATAATTTTTTGAGTGGATTTATAAAGCGTTTTTACTAATTAAACAATCCGAAACACATTTAAAAAGTATCGTAGGCCTTAATGGTGTTACGGTGAAGATTTGAATTAATATACGGTAAGTATCGTAATCTAGATGAGAATTTGTTAGTGTATAATCGATAAAATATTATATAATTTGATTAATTTAATAAAATTATAATGTTATTTAATTAAATTTATACATAGGCCTTAGTTTAAATAAGTTTAAATCCCTAAAAAACGTGTTTCTTCATCCATCTTTCAACCCGCTTTTTTGATTGTTTAAGAAACGTTTTAATGTCTAAACAATGGACAAAAATCGGTTTGGCTCCTTAACGACTTAGCTAATTGTCTACTTAATTACTTACTTAATTATAAAAAGATCTTAATAAGAAAAAAAATTTATATAATAAAATATTTTCATTCAACGTCTTACAAGTAAACCTTCTATTAAATTACCTAAAGCTACACAGCATCCATTTATTGATCTACTAGACTTTAGATAAAATTCAATCTTCACACCCTTAGATCTAACTTCAATCAAGTTTTTTACAATTATTTTTATATAAAATTAAATAAATTTTATATAAAACATAATAATTTTTTATTATATAAGTTCAATTTTGTATAATTCTTGCTTAATTTTAAACAATTTTAACATACTTTCTATCGCTCCAGGCCTCGTAAAACTTGATTTAAATATTATGAAATATTGTTTTATATAAAACTATAATGATTATTTTTTATATATATTTAATTAATTTTTTAAATTTAAAACCAAATTATTAATTAAATTTAGTTTAAAAATTACTTTACTACAGAGGCCTAAAGATTAAGCATCCATAAATTGGTTCTTCTTCCTCTTCTTCTTCTTCTTCTTCTTCTTTTAAACTTCAAAATGCATTTTATATGGATTTAAATTTATAAACTTATTATAATTAATTTAATTTAATTCGATTAAGAATTAAATTGATAATTATTTAAAAAATAAATCTATAAATTTAGAGTTGAATTTAGCTTACAGAAAGTAATAGAGATGCTATATTAAGTGGTAGAGATGCGCTAATTTCTTCTTGAATTTAAATTAATTTTTAATTAAAATTGCATAAAATTAATTAAAAATACATATTTTGTGTTAATTAAATCATTTTAAAGTCAATATTTAAACAATATAAAGGACGATCCTCATCTAACTTAACCTATACTTTTCTAATGATTAAAGATTGGATCAGATACAATTAAACAAGAAAGTTAAATTTTTTTAAAGGTTTAGTAATTATTTTTTAACTGAAAAACTTCATATTTAATGCGTTACACGTACGAGTAATTTAATGTAATGCCTAATAATTTAAAAACACGCATTTTTTTCTCTCTCTTCTTAAGCATTGCAATCAAGTAGAGCCTTGCAAATGCTCGAAAAATTCAAGTTTTTCTCATTATTAAGTTAAGTAAATGACTGTAATTTAGATAGATCTTTACCTTTAACTTGTTTTTCTTCTTAAAAATTAAATGGAAAAATATTAAATAACATAATTTTAATTATATTATGACTTGAAAATTCTCAATCCCTTGCTATGAATAAGGCCGCTATCATAATTTAGGCCATGTTTATAATATATGTAATTAAATTAAAACCGAATTTTTATTCTTAAAAATTGATATTTTTTAAAAGAAAAATCATTAAGTAACTTTAAATTCTTGCTTAGTTGCTCTTCTTGCATCAATTGATGATCAATGAAACCCTCCTTTAACATAAGAAAATTGAGGTTTTTTTAAGCGTAAATTTGCCAAATTTATTGATTTTCTAAGTTTAAATTCTTTATATTTTTATATAAAACGTCTATTTTGATTTAAAACGTTAATTTATTATAATTATTAAACCATTCCATAAAGCTTTATTGCACTGGATAAAAATGAGAATTTATTAATAAAATTCACGAAAAAATAGCAATTAATGATGCATAATCGATTAAGTACAATGTAAAATTAATAAAACTCCAAATATAATTATTAAATAATGCAATATTTAAGCCATATCGAGTGTATAAAATGGTGAAGATCATCATTCCGTTCAATGGATACCCCCACTTCATCATACGTCTACCGATGATTAAGAATCATTTATATTTAAAAAAATACAAGATATTAAAAAATAAATTGAACAAAAGAGAGAAGGTCAAATCGTTTATTGTATTCTTTGGAGCATAATGGGAAGTTTTTGAATTGCCTATCACTTAATGAGGCGTTTATCCTATTTTCCGTTCAGCCTTAGCGAAGATACTCTGTTCATGCCAGAAAGATCTTTATTGCTCTGGATTTTGGAAAACTACTTTTCCAATTCACCTATTTTCTTATTTGGCATGAGAACTTTGATGAATTGAAATCGTTCTAATATTTAGGAAATTTTAAACTCCACTGCTTTAGTAAGCCATTTTGCTTTGGTATTCTTCTTGTGGTCTCTTCAAAGAATTACTTCTTTCCCCTACTCTTCTCTACTTATTTTTTATCCTGATTTATACTTTAGAATCTCTATTTTATTACTGTATTATCGATGCATAGGTTATAATCTTTAAGTAGCAATTATAGGGGCTTGGGGTTTGGTAAAGTCCATACTGAATGACCTTATAACTGAGGCCATTCGGGATGGACTTTATCTGTCCAAATCTTGCAACTTTCCAGACGATTCTCTTCGTAACATTTGTAAAATTATTTAAAATTTTGATAATAATTTGGGTATTTAATCATTTTTCTAGGCCTAGGATTGAGATTTTTTTAAATATATATCATTTAGAAAATCATATTTAAGAAAGGATTATATAGCGATACGCGCTTCAAATCATTCTTACATTAATTCACCGTGCTAAAATCGAAATTTGTACATAATTTTAATACATAACGTAATGTTTTTCCTATATAAGAGTCTCTTTCCTTCAATTTTCATAATATATTATTTAAATATGAGGCCTATAACAAAAACAATCGCGTATTATTCACCATATTCTAAAAATTTCAAGACAATTGTCAAAGAAAATCATTTACATTTTAACTATAATTACTTTATTGTAGTTGTTTTCTCAAGTTTCCTAAATACAGACAGACAAACACGACGTTCCGTTAATAAAATATCTGATCCGTCTATAGTCTTCGATATTAGCTTCGCTACTCTAAAACCTCTTAAAATTAAACGAATAAAGGACTTTTAATTTACTTTTTACAAAATAAATGAAGATAATTATCATTTATAAACATTTAAATGATTATAATTTGTCATAAGGTGATGAGTGCAATAAGAGATTATGAAAGAGACTATAACAATAATTTCTAATAGTCTCTAATGGTCTTGATTAGCCTTAAAATTAACAACCGTGTTATAATTCCAGTGTCAAATTAAATCCCCTATTGCCTAATTTTGACAGAATCTTATCTTTTAAACAATTTTTGAATGAGTAAGAACTGTAAAATTCAAATTCAAAAGATAAAATGTTCCCTAAACTTGCTGGAAGTGCCATCAAAATTACCATCAATCTTCCCTGTTTTTAAATATATCCTATGCTTTTAATTAATTAAATTATGGTAAATTTCGATTATAAACTATGTTCTGCATTTAAAAAACACCATAGTAAATATTATTGATATTTTTTTAGGGGGTAGAAGGCAGTTTTATATATAAATGTGTTGGATTTTAATTAAAGAAAATCGTTGCAATATTCGAATTATTTAGAGAAAATAAGAGAAAATTATGCAACTTTTTTTAGGTATTTTATGGCTAATTAAAGTATCTTTATTCGATAATTTTTAGGTTTTGAGACGTAGTTAATGTTGGCCTATAGGATAGATCAGTAACAATTCTCTTATCTTTTATTAAAAATTAAATTTATATGAATAATTCTATAAAATTACAAGAGCTTAAGGCCAATTTTTCTTCCTAAGGACTTATAAAGAAAGTTTCTATAACTTCTATAAGTCCTTGTAAGAAAAATTCTCATAAGGACAATGCATCTTCTTAATGATTATCAAGGTATATTATCAATTAATGCATCCTTAAAGTAAGCACAATTTAATTCTAAAAACACCTAAAATTATTCAAAAGCATTACTTTATTAAATTTTGTGCGTTTTAGAGGCAAAATTATCATTCTTATATTTAAAAAAAATACCAAATTTTATACCCTCTGGATGTATTTATGGATAATTTTTTAATCAAAATTTAAATTCTGATATTTATAAGATGGGTTTTGATTGGCTGTCGTTTGCAGCACACACACAATTGACCTCATAATGTCCGTCTCTCCCGTGTTTGGACATGGGCTTTGATTGATCGCTATTTACTGCACTTCTATCTGTTGTGTGTCGTGAGACAACAAATCTTAACTGCTGCAAACACTCATTGCGTTTTTCTGCCAGACTATTAAGGGAAATTAAAGAACCTTCTAATATCCGGACAATCGGAAGTGAACGACAGAAGATTGACCGCCATTTTTAACTCTACGATAATTCATTTCTTTTCTTTTCTTTTCTTTTTTTTTTTTAATAAAAGATGGATGATATAGAATTAAGAAGTGTAAAATTTCTATTTAAAATCTTCGAAATTCGAAAATATAAGGCAAAAATATTAAAGAAAATGCAATAATTTGAGATTATTTCCATGTAGAAATGATAAATTTCATGTCTTCTTCGTGCTTCCAGAATTGGAGATCGCTTCAGAAGATTGCTGTTGTGGCTTAGATTTAGATGTTACATTAGAAAAATTGAATTTTTCTCAATTTTAAAATATAAAAGAACTTTACTCGATTATAAAATTTACTTTATCAATTATTATTATTATATTTTCATCCCGTTCTTTTGAATTCCCAATCTTCATCCCATAAAGTATACGAGCATCTCTAAGAATGTTCTTTCAGCTCTACAACGAAAATTTCTTTAAAAATTATAGAAAAATTCAAGAATTTTATTTTCTAAATCTCTTATATCGAATTAGAAAAACGAATTTCTAATTAAAAATCCACTTTTCTTTCTTTCTACTCGAGATCCTCCATAGAAATCAATGCGGGATCTCACAGTTTTGGATGAATAAAAGTAAACTATTTTACACTAAATTTAAATTTTATCCTTTTAAAAATATATCTTATTAGAATTTATTAATTCTAATTAAGATTTTTAAACAATACGCAATAAATTAAAAGTTTTATTTAATGTAAATCGCATAAAAAGCATATAAATGTATGCAGTTACATATGATTTTTATTAATTTGGAAACGAATTAAACACAGTTTAATCACAGTAATAACACATGTAACACATAATTTGTTTAAATTATCTTTTAAAAAATTATAAACGAAGGAATTTTTTAGAAGAAAAGGTAATTTTAAACGGGAATCCTTCAATATTTTAGATGGAAGACGGTCCATTGATTATATCGTTTATTATTAGAATTTTTAATTAAATTTCTAATCAGAGAGTAAACAAATTAATAAAATATAAATTAAATGGGTTTTCTAATTTATAAATTTTCCAAAAATTAAGAAAATAACGCTAAAAAAAAGGGGGGGGAGTGATTTTTAAAAGTTAATTGCTATGATGACTTTTAAGTCTCTTTGACAATCTTGACTTAATTGGTGTCAAACGGTTAAGTGTCTTCATTTTGTATTATTTTTAAATGTGTAACAGATTCTTGTAATTATATTTAACTTTTAAACGAATCGTTAAAGATTGTTAATGATGTTTTGTTTTAATAATACACATCTCTCTCTCTCTCTCTCTCTCTCTTTTTCTTCTTTCTCCCTCTTAAGCAATTAAAACTTGATAAAAATTGCGTTAAAGTTAATTAAATTATCGAAATTTAGAGCCTATAATTGTACATATAACAGTCTAAAGCCGAAACTTGTATTGCATATGCCCTATGTTGCATTTTTAACACAAATTGAGCCTCAATCGTCGTATAATGCGCACCCCCTCCCTTTTGACGTCCCGATTTATTAATTTAGGTAAACACACAATAACAATTTAAAACTTATTACAGAAAATTGCATTAAAGAAAAGCTTTAAAGTTATATTTTTAATTCAAATTTCGGTGCGTAAATAGGTGTATAATGCGTACCTTTGTTTTATTAATTTAGGTAACTATAGGCTTTAAAAATATATGTATATAACTTAATGCATATATTTAAGAGAATTTTATAGTAATTTAAGTTATAATTCTCTTCTATAGATTCACATAGCAGCGATTCGACAAACGACGAAACGGAATTGGAGAGACAAAAATGCGAATGTCTACCCTCCTCAGACGATAACGGACGAAACGATCCTATGACAGAAAGAGAAACCTCAAAAGGTAGCAGTAAAAAGAAAAAATCAATGGGTGATCACAAAACAGGAAAGCCAAGACGTGCAAGAACAGCTTTTACATACGAACAATTAGTGGCACTAGAAAATAAATTCAAGACTACAAGATATTTATCAGTTTGCGAGAGACTTAATTTGGCATTGTCGTTAAGATTAACGGAAACACAAGTCAAAATATGGTTCCAAAATAGGAGGACAAAATGGAAGAAACAAAATCCCGGTATGGATGCTAACAGTCCAACTATACCTCCTACACAACCGGCTGCATTACAGTCTTCATATCCATCAAATCCACCCTATACTGCAGCAGGTTTGTTATACGGGACTCAAATACCTTATTTACCAACAGCAACTGCGTTAAGTTATCCTATTTTATCACCACCTCAACACTTTGCAACCACTCATCCGTACCTTTCTCATTTGGCACATACGTGAACAATTTTTAGTGTGCAATTACGTAAAAATTTAACATTGTGTTATGTATATAGTTTAAAAAAAACCTCATTAAGAAAGGCCTATTGTCTAGGTCAAGAATTAGACTATATATCGATGTCTTCGATTATTAAAACACAATAAAAAGCAAAAAAAAAACAAAAAAAAGTTTATTAACTCGTGTCGCCGAGATTTAATCCAAAAAACCAACCAAATGAACTGTTTTTAGTACTGAAACCTCATTAAGAAAGGCCTATTGTCTAGGTCAAGAATTAGACTATATATCGATGTCTTCGATTATTAAAACACAATAAAAAGCAAAAAAAAAACAAAAAAAAGTTTATTAACTCGTGTCGCCGAGATTTAATCCAAAAAACCAACCAAATGAACTGTTTTTAGTACTGAAATGGTGTGATTATATATAAATATATATATAAATTATATATATCTATATATATATAGGCCCTAGGCCCTACATTGTAGAGTGCTTATTAGGCCTTTTATGAAATATTTCACTTTTATTTGTGAAATACAAAGAAAAAAATGAATAAAATCAGATCTGGTATTTGTGCGAAAATTGTTTTCTCTCAATTTTTTAAAATTGTTTTCATGCGTTTAATTAAATTTAAATAAAAAAAAGTATTTTATAATACTTTAAAGTAAAAATAGTTATAGGAAACACTTCGCTCTTTTTACTTAATCCCCAACTGAATAGTCTTTTCTAACGTGTAATCTCTCTCGAAAAAATTCTTTACCGAACAACCATATTTACGTGTAAACTCCACAAAGTTCTTTATTGGACAGTCATAGTTACGTGTAACTTCCTACAATAGTCTTTACCGAACACGTATATTTACTTTTACTGTACAAAATTCTTTACTGTACAACATATATACAAGTTCTTTTATAGTAAAGTAGTAAATTTCGTTAGCAGATTCTTTTATCAAAATATACTTTTACACGTAAATCCCTTCCGAATTCTTTACTAAAACACTCACATTTACATACGGTAAAGTCCAACTAAACAGCACTCTTACATGCAAATTTATAAGAAATTTAACTCGAATTTATCATCGAAATAACGAAATTAAACTTCATGATAAATCAGATAATATATTTAAAGAGGAACGTTAATAAATTACGCGTAAAGTAATGAAGTTATTATACATTTTTACGTGTGGCGTATACACGTTTAAAGATTTCATAATCGAATCTTGTGTTAACCGGGGGTTAAGAAAAAATAAAGAAAAGTCATAGCTACGCAATCCTCTTTCGCCGAAACACGGATATCTTATCCAAATTAAGGCTGGAGACTGGCGTAACAGCTTTGCATTTTAATGAATCCTCTTCACGAGATATAAGCTTAAGTTTCGTGTTTGAAGGTAAAGTTAATTCTTTTTTCCTTTTTTTTTTGTTTTTAAATTCAAGCTTTGCGTTTAAATTAGTAGAAAGCCATTGCGAATCGTTAAAATGTTCATGGCTTTGCTATCTTTCTGATGATACATCAAATCCCATGGCTCATTTGCAGTTCGCTTAAAAACAACAAAGTAGAGCAGACGGTTCTTTATTCTCTCGAGCTTTAACTAAAAGCACAAAGATCCATTCGAACATTCAAAAACCGATTTTAATTGATACTTTAAAGAAAATTTCAAACGTTTTTTTTTTTAAATTGACGTATGCTTAATTTTAATTAACGCTTTAATTATTTTTCCTTTCATGCTGGGGGGAGAATGCTTCCATCTTTTAATGGAAGATAAGGCATAAAACAAAGGAAGAAAATTTAAAAAAAATTACATGGCCTAATTGGAAATATGTATAAATTTAATTAAAATCTTTTAATATATTTAAATATCTTTTAAAATTAATTATTAATTTAAGTATTTTATAACGGTTTTCTTATGTCGAATGCTCGTGTTACTCGGAGGATGCGTTAATTATTTATCTTTTTTAAATTTCTTGTTAATTAAAGGATTGTTTCTTGTGTGTTTACACTAATTTAAGTAATTATACGGATAATTTTGTGTAAATATTTAGTTATATACATTTATATTTAAATGAATTTTTTTAAAGTCAATTTTAAGATTAACAAATCAAACGACAAGATGTCATCTAGTCGACAATATTGTTGGTTTATCACTGCTTAAACCCGTATTTTATTAATGAATTATATAAAATATCATAAATATAATCCAATTTATATATATAATATAATAATTTTTGTAAATTAATCCTTCATTTAACTCAAGTTTTTCTCAATTTTAAGCGTAACACATGATTTTGCTCTATAATATTGTGAGTTTATCGTACTTTTTCACAGCTTAAACACCCTTATTTTATTAATAATTTATCTAAAATAATTTAAATTGATCCAATTTATATATAAAATAAAGAAATTTGGTGAAAATTTCATAAATTAATTCACCATTTTAAGTACAGTTAGAATCACTCTTCTATCTAAGTTAATGGCCACTTTTAATGTCATAAATAATGGCGTTTATTAATAATAAAATTAATNGTGTCTGAAGGCTTTAAACAAAGTATATCATTTGACAAATCTGCTGACAAGACATCAACGTCAATGCCATATTATAGATGGAGACTTGTCATTTCCAACTTCTAATGAAGCGGTTATCGTTGGCAGCTCAATTACTATATGAGAAATGCATTTCCGGATAATTTGACGAAAGATGTATGTCTGTCCGGGGCTCCGGAATGTTCTGATGCTGCAGAGACGAATAAACAAACGGGATCCACTTCACATTTCGGCGCATCTGTTACGTTTCTAAAAACACATATTTGCCTTGTTACCGTGTTGTTGTTTTTTTCGAATTTTACGCGTATATAAATTTAAAAAAGATTTATATTTATCAAGTAATTGGATTGTCGGCACCTTTTTTTAATTTTTCTTTTTTTTATATATAAAAATAAACAGGTAAGTGCTTATGCTTTGAAGTTACCACTTCTATGTTTGAGTTAGGCATTGAGGTGAATGAGTTAATTGGTAAATTCTGTAGGTAGAGAGTAGGAAAATATAAAGGAAGGCAGAGAGGTGAAGCAGAGAAGTTTTATCGCTGTTTCTTCCTTCCGATCATCCTTTCAATATACTTAAACACCTACGTCTCTATATAGATGTTTAGGTATATTTTAGTGTATTGAAGGATGATGGAGAGGAAAAATAGCAATAAAACTGAAGGAAAATAGGTAACTTCTTCCTATCTTCTCTAAACAATAACATCCTATTTGGGTTAGGGTGTTCTATACGTAGAGAGAATGATATGGAGATAAAGTACAAGTACTTAGAGCAGTCGATGTTGTAAGATAGTGAGGGAGATGATAGGATGATAAGTAAACTGTACGGAAGATAAGTACGGAATGTAGGAAGATAAAGTATGATAAGGATAATAAGTAAATTGTATGGACGATAGGGAAGAAATTAGACAATAAAAATTGAGGCAGATGAGGAGAAAAGTAGATAAAAAGGTAAATTCAATATAAGAAAGCATTAAAAGTACTCATTTAAAACCTATAATAAATTGTTTTATTTCACTCTATAAAGATATGACTTTATTTTAAATTACAATTAACTAAAATTAAACGTCATTTTGATTCAAATCATCATCCTAAATTAGTAAACAATTTAAAAAAAAAGCAGTTAAAATATTTATTTAATGACGATAGAGATAGACTAGGCCATACACAAAATACTGTTGTCGGCATTAGACAGCTGTCTGGAAACGTAACCTATCTCATTAATGCTCATTTAGGTAAATGTATATATATATATTCATATGCCATCTACTAAATTATGTAGCTATTAATAGAAACACAATTTAGATGGAATGCGAAAAGTAAATGCTCTTTAAAGAAGACCATATTTTCCAAAATGATTCTTAAATTTAAAGGAGGAAAAAAGAAAGGATGAGGAGGAGCGAGAGCAAGAGAAAAAGTAAAACTTAAAATGGGGAGGTTTGTTAAAAATTAGGAGGCTGCACGTGTTAACGAGTTATGTGAAGAGAAGGAAAATGTGCAGTCCCGCCTCGACCCATCACTTAGCCCCTCCTACTTCCGTTCTCCATCCTGCTGACTGTTGATGAGAGGATATCTACCTACGAAACCTCATTACTCAACGAGATCGGGTTCGTCCCACTTGGAAACACTAAGAAACTAAAGAATTATATATTAAAAAAGACTCTCCTTAATTATTTTTAACAGAAGGTTGTTTATAAATTTGCTCTTCGTTCCTTCTGTCGAGTATATTAACTTATTTGATTGTAAATTAAAAGTGATAAAGTAACAATTAGCTTTGTTTATTTACGTTGCTGCAAGATATTAATAGAATTTTTTTTCGAATTTAGGGTAATTTAAAGCATTTTAATTAATTTATTCTTAAGTTTATATATTATTTTATTAAATTTTAGAGTTTAAAATTATATAAACTACAAATATAAATTTTTTTTGTACTATCGAGTGTATAAAATGGTGAAGATCATCATTCCGTTCAATGGATACCCCCACTTCATCATACGTCTACCGATGATTAAGAATCATTTATATTTAAAAAAATACAAGATATTAAAAAATAAATTGAACAAAAGAGAGAAGGTCAAATCGTTTATTGTATTCTTTGGAGCATANGCTTAAAAAAGTCTAATTAATTAACAATAAAAGGGGGATATTTTTAAATAAAATAATTTTTTCATCTTTGAACTCTTATAAGCACGAGACTTTTTTTAATTCCACCTTAAAATATTGTTTAATGATTGTATAAAAGGCATAAAGTATGCCCCCATTATGCCTTTATGAATGGTCAGCTTCATTGAAAAGGGGTATTTGTTGGGTGGTTTATTAAAGGAGACCGAAGAAGGGGGTGGGTGGCGACTTCTTACATCAATTGGGTGATGGTGGTGAGGGGATTTTAGAATCGGGGACGAAGCATCGACGTGAGACCAATTCGTGCAACGTGTCTGAAGGATTATTATTTCAAGCGACAAACGTTGAACGTTGTCTTCATCCGGATCAACCCTTCCGGAAGGCACGACGATAGGGAGTCGTGTATCCCGCTAATGCGTAGTTTTAAGCCCATTACAGGCATCGTTTCCTTTCGCTATTTTATTTTCAAATTACCGTGCAGTGAGAGCCAATTAATGGGACCGCTGTTCCGCGTTTTGAGCTCGGGTTTTGGTGACAAATTGCGTTAAATTACCGG